TCCACCTGCCCGCTCGCCGCCGGCTGGCAGGTCTGCCGGTGCATGGATGCTCGGGCACCCACCACCACCGCCATCAATACACACATGCGCACCGCCCCTGCTGCCCCATCCTCCCACCATTCGCTCCATGCAGCGAGGGCTCCTTCATCCAGGACCCGGCCTTCGCCTCCATCAGCCCCCCGCCGACAATCCAGATCCACTCGGTGCGGCCCGCGCCACCCTGCCCATGCCACGCCTGCCGCGAAGCTGCTCATGTGCTGCTTGCGGTGTGCAGACCGGGGCTGCGGTGGGGCCGGGCCATCCGTGGCACTGGCGTAAGCATCAGCGCTAGTGATGGCCCAGGCCGCTTGACTCCTCCTCTGCCGCCCGCCCGCCTGCGCACCCCGCCTGCCTGCCATGCGTGCAGTGCCCCGGTGGCGGCTGCGCCTCGCTGGTGGGCTACTTCTCCCGCCCCCGTCGGGCCTGACGGCGACATCGGCATCGTGGGGCTGGGCACCACGGGTGACACCGCCGCCCCAGACTCCGACTCCATCACTTGCTCCTCGGGGGTGGCCCTGGGCATGGACACCGCCCGCTTCAACGCCACCTCCCCCCTGCCAGACGTGGCCAAGCTGATCAAGGTCGGGTGCGGCATCCCACAGAACTGCCCGCCGCCACCCAGCCCGCCCTCGCCGCCGCCGCCCTCCCCGCCGCCGCCCAGCCCGCCGCCACCCAGCCCGCCTCCGCCCAGCCCGCCACCGCCCAGCCCGCCGCCTCCCTCGCCACCGCCGCCAAGCCCACCGCCTCCCTCGCCGCCGCCACCTAGCCCACCGCCACCCAGCCCGCCACCACCGTCCCCACCGCCGCCCAGTCCAAGGCCGCTTCCCTCCCCAGCCCCACCGAAGCCACCGCCCTCGCCCAAGCCGCCCTCCCCACGCCCTCCGCCATCTCCAACGCCCCCAAAGCCACCGTCCCCTCGCCCGCCGTCCCCACGCCCTCCGCCCTCCCCAAAGCCCCCCAAGCCACCGCCCCCTCGCCCGCCCCGCCCACCACCCCCATCACCGAAGCCGTCGCCACCGCCGCCCAAGCCCCGGCCTCCCTCTCCCAACCCCCCTCGGCCGCCTATTCCCGACATGAACGCAT